CTGAGCACTACAGAATGTTAGGTGGTGAGGACTCTGGGTTGAACGAGATTGCTATTTTCTGCCCACACAGAACTATAGCCTGATTCTGGAGACACACAGGTCAAATGTGATTTTAATAAGTATTTTCTGGTTCATTGATTTTTTTTTCAGGTACAGTGGTTTTTACCAAGCAGTCAAAGGTTGATTGAGTCTTATTATCCTGTTCTTGATTTTCATTGATTCTACCATGGTCAGAAACATGCTCCAATTGATTCCAATGATTGTGATGTTTGTAAGAATGGTGGCAAGGCCCCAGCTGGGGCCTGGACACTCTCCCCAACAGTCTGTATGCACCCTCCCACACCTGATGCAAAGGGTGAGAATCTGGTCAGTGTTCACGGGCTCCAGGAAGCTCCTCACACAATCAGCGAGGGGTCCAGTGTCTGTGTATCAGCAGTGTCCTGAGAGCCCAGTTGCCCCTCCAACTCTTGATCTCCGTGAAAACTCCACCCAGTGCTGACAAAGACTCTCCCCAACTATCCACATGCAACCTCCACCCAGTGCTGATGAAGATCCTCACCATCAATCCTCACCATTAAGAGGAAGTTCTCACTGCACAGGGGAACCCCAGTGGGATAAACGTTCACCAAACAGCAGACAAAAGTCATCTCCTCCTCCTGACAAGGCACTGAGCCTTGCTGGAATAACCACTTTCCACACTTGGGTCGTGACTATGTGGGCTTTCCTCCTGGGATGGTCAGTCATCTGTGATGGCTCCTTTAAGCCAAGTGGTGTCTTATCTGTTTCCTCCCTTTGCCATCTTGGAGTGTGTGCCCTCACTGAGCCTCCCTCCACAAGTTATTGGCTAGTTTCTCAGGGGACACCAGGTGTGGTTGGGTTGCGCAGCTTATGTCTCAAAGACACTTTCATACCTTCTTATCCCACTTTACCTTAATCCTTTTCACAAAAATGTTCATTCTGTGGTTCATTTCAGGAGCTTTCACCTGCTTTGTTCCCTGCTGGCCTGGTGCATTTTCACTGGCATGGATTGGATAAATTTGGCCATGGATGGCTTGTTGGGAGCCAACCCCCCCATCTGGGGTCCTCACAAGTCTTCCCTTTAGTATGGGCACTCTAGCACCAGTGCTTCCCTGCCCCCATCTCCAATATTTCTTCTAATCCTTTGAGCGACCTAGTCCTCTGGTATTTGCTGGAGCTGTTGTCACAATTAACACAATGCATAGAGACTTTTCTGTTTTTTTTCCAATTTTATTATTTTTTTAATTTTTGAAAATATATTTTATTGATTATGCTATTACAGTTGTCCCATTTCCCCCCTTCATTCCCTTCCACCCTGCACACCCTCTTCCATCCACATTCCCCCCCCTTTAGTTCATGTGCATGTGTCTTAAGTTCTTTAGCTTTTACATTTACCATACTTTTTTGCCCTCCCCCTGTCTATTTTCTGCCTGCCATCTATGCTACTTATTCTCTGTACCCTTCCCCCGCTCCTCCTCCCATTCCCCTGTTGCTACCCCTCATTGTGATCTCCATTTCTGTGGTACTGTTCCTGTTCTATTGTTTCCTTAGTTTGTTTGTATTTTAGGTGTGGTTGTTAGTAATTTGTAAGTTTGCTGTCATTTTGCTATACATGTTTTTTTATCTTTTTTTTCTTAGATAAGTCCCTTTAACATTTCATATAATAAAGGCTTGGTGATGATGAACTCCTTGAACTGGACCTTATCTGAGAAGCACATTACCTGTCCTTCCATTCTAAATGAAAGCTTTGCTGGATAGAACAATCTTGGATGTAGATCTTTGGATTTCATGACTTGGAATACTTCTTTCCAGCCCCTTCTTGCCTGTAAGGTCTCTTTTGAGAAATCAGCTGACAGTTTGATGGGAACTCCTTTGTAGGTAACTGTCTCCTTATCTCTTGCTGCTTCTAGGATTCTCTCCTTCATTTGAATCTTGGCTAATGTAATGATGATATGCCTTGGTGTGTTCCTCCTTGGGTCCACCCTCTTTGGGACTCTCTGAGCTTCCTGGACTTCCTGGAAGTCTATTTCCTTTGCCAGATTGGGGAAGTTCTCCTTCATTATTTGTTCAAATAAGTTTTCCACTTGTTGCCATTCCTCTTCCCCTTCTGGTACCCCTATAATTCGGATGTTGGAATGTTTAAAGATGTCCTGGAGGTTCCTAAGCCTCTCCTTATGTTTTTGAATTCTTGTTTCTTCATTCTGTTCTGGTTGAATGTTTCTTTCTTCCTTCTGGTCCACTCCACTGATTTTAGTCCCAGTTTTCTTTCCCATCACTGTGCATTTTGCTTCATTTCACTTAGTGTAGCCTTCATTTGTTCATCTAATTTGTGGCTAAAATCAACCAGTTCTGTGAGCATCCTGATCACCAGTGCTTTGAACTGTGCATCTGATAGGTTAGCTATCTCTTTGTCTCTTAGAAGTATTGGCTCTGGGGCTTTGAGCTGTTCTTCTTCTGGAGCCATAATGCTTTGGTCAGGTTGAGCCTGTTATGTATGAGGGGCGGAGCCTTAGGTGTTCACCAGGGTGGGGCAACCCAGGTCACTGGGTTATGATGCTGTATGTGGGGGTAGTGTCTGAGAGGGAACTATTGGGCTTTGCTCCCTCTCTGTTGCACCTCAGTTGCTTCCGCAGCTTCCCCCAAGCAAACTGGGCCTTTCTGATGCTGATTCCTGTGTGGGTGGACTTGTGTGCATTCTAGGACCCTGTGGGTCTCTCCAAGGAACTCTCCTGTGAGGCTGGGAGTCTCTCCCTGCACCTCAACCCCCACATGTATTTTCAATTAGTGTTTTGAGGCTTTATTTCCCAGCTCTAGGACCCTGGGTTGCACGATCTGTCTCGCTCCCCAGTTATCTACGCGTGAATGTGGGACTGCTGCCTGGTCAGCCAGCCACCTTGTACATGTTTCTCAATTGCCGTCCTGCTTGGTCTACCCATGGCCACCCCACGCCTGGAGTTTGCCAGCTGCCGCCTGGGCGCTCAGGGTCTGCCTGGCGCCCGGGATGCCTTGCAAGCCTGGTGTCACCACTTCCTGTGCCACAGCCTGTCTCCCCTCGGCTGCTGGACTCTGCCCTGACTACCGGTCTGGATGAATGTGTCTATTTTAACTCCTTGGTTGTCGGACTTCCATACAGTTCAATTTTCTCTTAAGAAATTTTGTTGTTATTGTGTTTCTAAATTGTTGTTGTCCTTATTTTGGTCGTTTGAAGAGGCACAGTGTGTCTACCTATGCCTCCATCTTGGCTGGAAATCTGAGACTTTTCTAAGTAATGCAGTCAATACCCTCTGACTGACCTCCTCAACTATATCACGAGACAAGAGGGGCCCCTGGGAAACGTGAACACATCAGCTTTCCCCTAAGTGCACCAGGGCAGCTTGGGTGTATCCTCAGGCAGGTGGGGCCAACATGGTCCAGGGACTGAGTCTGAGGAGATGGGTGGTATTCCCAGGCTGCCCGATCCACGGGATGACCTCTGGTTCTGCACTCTTGCTCTGGGGATCCTTGAAGCTGCCATTACTCAGGGTCCTGAGGCCTCTCCTCCCTTTCAAGCCAGTGACCACTCTGATGAGAGTATGGCCATTTCAGTGACTGCAGTCATACTTCTCCTTCTGATTCCCCATCACAGACCTTTTGTTGCTTCCTCCACATGTCCACTCCAGACATGTGGACTGGACATATGGACTCCTCTCCAAGTGGACCACATCAACCAGTGAGCAAAGGCCAACTTCTGCATGTGTGTGCAAAGCACTGAGACTGAGCAGGAATCAAGAGTCCCTAATAAACAAGTGTGTGTGTAGGGGTTGTAATAAGCAAAATATTAAAATGTGAGGTGTGGATCCAGGGACATCGTCTTTTTGTCTGGGCCTAATATTGTCACCAGCGTGGAGGTGCCATGGAGAATTGGAAGGAAGTTGCTCATTATGACCTATTGAGACTTAGGTACTTTCAGCCTCTTCTTTATGCATTAATATAAAGACAAATAGACCCCACTAGATTCATTTGTACATATTTGTTATTTTTGTAGTCAATTTTAGTTGACTACACAAGTATTTTGAAGGAAATATGTTGAAGGAACCTAAAAACATTGATTGCCTAATTCTCTGTTTGGGTGTTGCCTGGTGGAAGAGTCAGCTCTGAAGGGATCTGAATTGTCCTGGGAAAGGTCAGGGCCATTCTGGGTGAAGGGAAGGAGGAGGTACCCACGGAGGTGTGAGTAGGAGTGTGTTCATAACTTTTGTCTGCAGACAGGACTCTGGGAACTGGCAAAGGGAGGAGGGCTGAGGTCCAATCTCAACATCTCCTGCTTTGCTTTATTTCTGTGAAATACATACATGTCCCTCAAACCCAACTGCCTGTATATCAGTGGGAATGAGAGAATGGGCCAATTGCCACTTGCAGAGAGAGTCACATAGTTTAAGGGGTCACCAATAATCCCAGTCATAACTTTTTTAGTGAAAGGTTGTTAAAAATCAAAATAAATTTAATACACAAACTTTTAGGATTAAGACAGGATTCAGGTCCTCTTTCTCTGAGTCACCTCTCTCACTGGCTCAGTTTCTCTTCTGGCACCTTGGGTCTGGGACAGAGAACACCCAGAGTGGAGCCCAGCCTTGGTGAGCAGGGCACAGTGTGGATGTGAGGCCTGCCATGGACCGAGGAACCTGAGCTGGCCACTGCCCCCAGGACATGACAGCCTAAGTGGCCCTATGGTCCTGAGAGTGAGGGATGAGGGAGGACACTCACATGCCATGTCAGTGTTGGGCTGTGGGGTACGCAGGTCAGGGTGACTTTCAGATTCTTAGCACCTCGCCCTAGAGTTCTGTAAAGAATGATTGTGTGCTGGTGGGTGTGCATACATGTGTGTGTGTGAGAAACATATGTGTGACATGATTCCTTCTAAAGCATCCATTTTATTCAATAAACAAGAAACAACTTTAATTTTGCAGATGCTTTATTGAAATGGAAATGTACGTGAGGTTTCAACAATTGTCTTGCATTTGTAGATACAAAGATGAAGAAGGAAAGCTCAGCTGTGGCTTCTACCTGTGAATAGTCAGTTTTGGGACAATCTCCAGGTCGTGTGGAAGTTAGTACTGATCACACCAAGAGCTACCGAGTATTGCTTGCTGAAAAACAAAAGCAGAGACATCATTTACATCTTACTTGTTCTTACCAAGGAACATGCTCAAGAACAAACATGCATCCTCATTGTTTTCTTGGATTGGTCCACACACATTGACCGGAGCTGGTGCTGGAAGAGAAGTTAGAATTGTCTCATCTATTCTTCTTCTTTTTTTAAAATTTTAATTAAAAATAGATTTTATTGTTTATGCCATTACAGTTGTCCCATTCCCCCCATTCATTCACCTGCACCCTGCATAACCCCTCCCCCAACAATCCCTCCTTTAGTTCATGTACATGTGTCACAAGTTCTTTAGCTTCTACATTTCCCATACTATTATTCCCCTGTCTATTTTATACCTACTATCTACACTACTTATTCTCTGTACATTCTCCCTCCCCTGTTGCTAACCCTCCACGTGATCTTCATTTCTGTGGTTCTGCTCCTGATTAGCTGTCCTCTGAGTTTGCTTTTGTTTTAGGTGTGGTTGTTAATAACTGTGAGTTTGCTGTTCTTTCACTGCTCATCTTTTTTTAAAAACTTTTTTTATTGATTATGCCATTACATTTGTTCTATTCCCCCCTCCATTCCCCTCCACCCTGCATACCCCTCCCCCACCATTTCCCCCTTTAGTTCATGAACACGTGTCTCAAATTCTTTAGATTCAGTATTTCCCCTACTATTCTTACCCTCCCCCTATCTATTTTCTATCTACTGTCTATGCTACTTATTTTCTGTACCTTCTCCCCCCCTTCTCCTCCTCCCACTCCCCTGTTGCTAACCCTCCTTGTGATCTTCATTTCTATGGTTCTGCTCCTGATCTAGCTGTCCTCTTAGTTTGCTTTTGTTTTAGGTGTGGTTGTTAATAACTGTGAGTTTGCTGTCCTTTCACTGTTCATCTTTTTTATCTTCTTTTTCTTAGGTAAGTCCCTTTAACATTTCATATAATAAGGGCTTGGTGATGATGAACTCCTTGAACTGGACCTTATCTGAGAAGCACTTTATCTGCCCTTCCATTCTAAATGAAAGCTTTACTGGATAGCGCAATCTTGGATGTAGATCTTTGGATTTCATGACTTGGAATACTTCTTTCCAGCCCCTTCTTGCCTGTAAGGTCTCTTTTGAGAAATCAGCTGACAGTCTGATGGGAACTCCTTTGTAGGTAACTGTCTCCTTATCTCTTGCTGCTTCTAGGATTCTCTCCTTCATTTGAATCTTGGCTAATGTAATGATGATGTGCCTTGGTGTGTTCCTCCTTGGGTTAAACTTCTTTGGGACTCTCTGAGCTTCCTGGACTTCCTGGAAGTCTATTTCCTTTGCCAGATTGGGGAAGTTCTTCATTATTTGGTCAAATAAGTTTTCCACTTGTTGCTGTTCCTCTTCCCCTTCTGGTACCCCTATAATTCGGATGTTGGAATGTTTAAAGATGTCCTGGAGGTTCCTAAGCCTCTCCTTATGTTTTTGAATTCTTGTTTCTTTTTTTTTTGAATTCTTGTTTCTTCATTCTGTTCTGGTTGAATGTTTCTTTCTTCCTTCTGGTCCACTCCACTGATTTTAGTCCCAGTTTTCTTTCCATCACTATTGATTCCCTGTGCATTTTGCTTCATTTCAGTTAGTGTAGCCTTCATTTTTCCATCTAATTTGTGGCTAAAATCAACCAGTTCTGTGAGCATCCTGATCACCAGTGCTTTGAACTGTGCATCTGATAGATTGGCTATCTCTTTGTCTCTTAGAAGTATTGGCTCTGGGGCTTTGAGTTGTTCTTCTGCTTGAACCATAATGTTTTGGTTTGTTTGCACCTGTTATGTATGAGGAGCTGAGGCTTAGGTGTTCACAAGGGTGGGTTAACCCAGTTGCTGGGTTGTGACGCTGTATGTGGGGGCAGGGTCAGAGAGGGAGCAATGATGTTTGTTCTGCTCTCTTTCAGATTTTGGTCCCCTTTGCTGCTTCCCATAAGCAAATTGGGTCCTTCTGGTACTGGCTCCTGGGTGGGTGGACTTGTGTACATTCTAGGACACTGGGTCTCTCCAGAAAACTCTCCTGTGAGGCTGGGAGCCTCTCCAGGCACCTCAACCCCCAAAAGTTTTTTCATTTGGTGCTTTTAGGCTTTAATTCCCATCACTGGGGCCCTGGGTTGCATGGTCTGTCTCACTGTCCTTTTTCTTGCCTGTTTTATCTGCGTGTGAATATATGACTGCGGTCAGCCAGCCTCCTTGTGCCCTCACTGGGTCTGCCCATTGCTACCCTATGCCTGGGATCTGCCAACTGCCGCCTGCACACCTGGGACAGTCAGGCAGCCACCGCTTTTTCCTGCTGTGACCCCTCTCCACTGGCCACTGACTCCGCCCCCCCTTACTAATCTCCATGAATGGTTCATTGTTGTTGGACTTTGGTGTAGTTCAATTTTCTGTCTGTTTTGGTTGTATTTTTGTTTCTAAATCTTTGTTGTCCTTAAATTTGGTTGTGCAAGGAGGTACAGTATTTCTACCTGTATCCATCTTGGCCAGAAGTCTCTCAGAATCATCTCATCTGTTCTATTCTTCAGGTGACCATGACTTATCCCAAAGTGTGCTGGTGCTGCCCAATCTTGTCCCTACCAGGGACCCCTTGATCATGTTATCTTCATATTTCCTCTTCTTTGAAATAACATAGCCAACCAAATGCTGTGTTTCAGTTTTTAGTACTTCAGTCCAAATATGAGGGAATGTGAAGTTCTGAGTCCCTGCAGGTTAGAAGAAGAGCCAACAGCTTCATGCCCCCATCCCCACAGCCCCCATGGGTGACAAAACTTTTCAGGTGTGTGCTCCTCATGATTTGTCTAAGGATTTAAAGAAAATTCCCATCATCTTGAACTGAAGGAGCTGATAATTTAAAAAAAATTAAATTACAGTAAACACACATACAAATGTTACTCTTTCACTACTTTCAAAGCACAGCTAATTGTATGAGGAACATTCAGTCGGCAGCACACCTGACATCCAGGACCTTCTCATCTTGTTGAGATGCAGCTGCAGACCCTCCCCATCTGCCAGCTTCCTGCCCACCTGCCCTGGAAACCACTCTTCAACCTCTGTGTCTAAGAGATTGGCTACTCTACAAAATGTGATATTTGTCTCTTGGTGACTGGCTCATTATTTTTCTCATAGTTTCTCAAGGTTCATCCATGCCGTCCCCTGTGTCAGGAATTTTTTAGTGATCTGCACTTTCCTCTGTGTGCTGTGGCAGTATGTCCAGGTGGTTACCCTGGAATGTTGCAAATGATATGTTAGGGCAGGGAATGAGCAGTAGAAAACTCTACACAACATCTGTCATACGTGGAAAGACTGCCTCATGTGACACCACTGATTTCTGTTTCCCCTCACCCACCACCCAGGAGGGATTCACAACTATGGTTTCTGTGTGTCACTCTGCGGCCTTTTATTCACTGTCAATGAATCCACACACTGGTGCTGGCACACCTAGGTTGGTTGACAGTGCACTGAAGGTTGTGTTAATAAGATGGAAGGAATCTTCCTGACAAGCATGACCATCACGTGCTTCCAAAGAGCTGTCACAAACTGAGAGCTTGTCAAATGCAGTTCCCGTAGTTCAAATGTAGTTAAAGAGACACCAAAATTACCTTCATCTCTGAGACATCCTCCAGAGTTTCTCTGCTCTGCTGGAAAAAGCATTGCTTCATGAACATGATGTCCTTTTTGGTTTCTTCATCTGGTAAGAACCCTTGAATTTTATCCATGTATTCAGCCACATCCACATCAGGATCAATGGTCATATCCATGAGATTTTCTATAATATCGCAGCCAATCCCTGGGACCAAAGCAGGCAAATGCAGGCTCAGCTACAGAGGTGTGAATTTCGTGTGAGGCCTGACTGTAATGCTGTAATCTTACCCCCCTATCCCCTACAGGGACATATGCCCAGCGAGGTGGTGGAAAGGGTCTGAGTCCTCAGTGCTAGGAGACTCAACTCAGGACCTGGGATTTTCTTTTAGCCCTAAAACATCTGTGCCCTTGCCCTCTGCACCTACCCAACATGCTCTCCACCCCCCACAACGTAGACACTAGAGAAATGGGCTGCTTTGTACAGGGGCTTGGGGAGCAGCAGCACTTGCACAGGGGCCCTTAGCACAGCCCTCCTCCAAAGCTGGGGCCCTGTTCGGGCTCACCTGCATAGCAGTAAAGGGGGAGAGCAGTCAGCATAAGGACCATCACCAGCTTCATGGTTCAGGCAGCTGCTGTGGGCTGGTCTCTCTGAAGTGGCAGGGAAGAAGGAGCTCCTGTTGGAGGTGAGTGTCCAGAATGCAGCTTTTTATTCTCCTGGCGGCTGCCCTAATCCCTCACATGGATGATGGGATGAGTCACAGGGTATACCTGGCCCTGAGCCAGGAAGGGACTGGCAAAATCTCCTAGACTCAGCAGCCTGGGCTAGTTTCATATAACCCGAGGGGACAGAGCTTTGAAAACCCTCAAAGGTCTCAGAACTGCAATAATGGTGAGGACATTAGATGAAGTTAACATCAAAGTGCCAGCAAAATAATAAGGCAAATGACAACATTGTGAGAATGTATTGCCATTCCTGTTGCTTTCTTATGGTTGTGGTCCTCATTATCTCTTCCCCCTTCCCCAATTTTTTCTCCCCTCCTCCTCCTTCTTCACCTTAAGCTCTTCCTCCTCTTCCACCACCCTCCTCTCCTTTTCTTCTTTGCCCACCCTGTTACTCGTCTTGTTTTCCTTTTACCTTTTCAGAGTACAACAACACATTTCACATTCAGTCTGTGTTTCTTCTGATTCTGCAAACACCTGCTCTGGGTGCAATTCCACATGCTGCCTCTGGAGGACAGACTTTCCTCACCCACAGAGTGCAACACAGGTGCTTTGGGTGGGGAAATAGAAATAATTCCTCACCTTCTTTGAAGGTTGTTTCACAAAGATGCTCTTACTTAGTTTTGTCAGCTTCAAAAAGTTAGTTATATATTTAGACTTAAGTTTGGTTTTTGTTAGTTTGTTCGGGTTTTTGTTCTACCGATTCAAAGGATGATGTGAGAAGTATGGTTAGAGATGCTTGGGTGGTGGCCATGCTGAGTGGTGAGAGGGCTATAAGCTGGGCTCTCCCAGCTGTAGATTTGAACCACAGATGCAACCCCTTGGTCATGACATGTTCTTGGGCAAGTTGCAGTGCTGGTTGTCCTGAGCTTCCTTTTTCTAATTTCTGAAGTTGGCATACAGGATTGCATGCCTGGTTTTGTAAGGATGGCTGACATTTATGTCAAGAGCCTATCATGGGGCTTAAAACAAGAGTAGTTAGGACTAAATCGGAGGTTTCATTTTTCCATTCGCCCATGCACCCTTCCATCTATCCATCTATCATCTATCCATCCACACATTCATGTATCCACCCATGCCCCTAACAACCATGAATCTCCTAGGATGGGCCCTATGCTATGTGTCACAGATTCCATTGTGGGAAGAAGTCAAGCAGGACCTTGAACTTGTGCAGCTTCCCTGTAACTGGAAGTAACAAACAAGACTGCAATTGGATAGGAGAGAAAGGGAAAGTGATGGAGTCAAGAACAACAAAACAACCACAAGGGCAGCAGCATCCTGGAAGAACGTCCAGGCAGCCCATTGCACCAGGACTTTTCAGCTCGCCTGAGTAAATGGTGAAGCCCAGGGGACCTTCTGGGAAGAGTTAGCTAGGCAAAGGGAACAGCAACTTACAGGTGTTGAGTGCAGGTGGCACGTGGCCAGCTGAGAGACACAGGCAACATGTCCCTCTTGTAGTCAGTGAGGGACACAACAACCTTCCAGGACAGAAACACCACATCAGCCTAAGTGGGGATGGTATGGAGGAACAAGAGAAACAAAGTTGCAGGAGAGTAAAGGGAAAAGAAATGGGTGAGAGGTCCTGAGAGATGTGTCAGGGGTCAATCACCTGTGGTTGCATTTGCTCTGTCGGGATTATTGGGGACTCATGTCTTTCCATCATTCAGCTGATCCAAAGTCACTAAGAACAATACTGATTTAGGAAGACACTAGAAATTGAAGGAGAGTCATGTTCTTACATGTGTGCTTTCTCCCTGTTGACCATTGTTGGCAGTCTCATTTCAAAAACAAGGGAAAGACTTTTATAAGGAAATGGAACCTGAGTCATTGAAGAAGTATTGGTGAGGGCTCTGCCAGGTGCCCATTGCTTATGGACCTGCCCTGCAGTCTGCTGCTATACCATACCCTGCACTGGTTTTTTCCCCCAGCAAAAGCAGTCCCACATCAAGTACAATGACATGTGTGTTTCTTCATCTCTGTGTCTTCTATATAGCCTGAGGTGACCATTCCTGGTGTGTCAAAGGACTGTATCTTCACTCAGAAAACAGAAGAGCAAGCATTTAAAAATTTATTTAATTATTGTTCAAGTACAGTTTTCTGTTTTTTACTCCCATTCCAGCCCACCCCCCAGTGCTCCCCACCTCCCTCCCATTTCCACCCCCCTTGTCCATGTGTCCTTTAAACTAGTTCCTGTAATTCCTTCCCCTTTTTCCCCTATAATTCCCTCCCCTCTCCCCTCTGGTCACTGTCCCCCTGTTCTCTATTTCAGTGTCTTTGTTTTTATTTTGCTTGCTTGTTCGTTTTGTTGTTTAGCTTCCTGTTAAAGGTGAGATCATACGGTATTTGTCTTTCAATGCCTGGCTTATTTCACTCAGCATAATGCTTTCCAGTTCCATCCATGCTGTTGCAAAGGGTAGTAGCTCCTTCTTTCTCTCTGCTGCATAGAATTCCATTGTGTAACTGTACCACAATTTTTTGATCCATTCATTTACTGCCAGGTACCCAGGTTGCTTCCAGCTCCTGGCTATTGTAAATTGTGCTGCTATGAACATTGGGGTGCATAGGTTCTTTTGGATTGGTGTTTTAGGGTTCTTAGGATAAAATCCAAGCAGTGGAATTACTGGGTCAAAAGGCAGGTCCATTTTTAGGTTTTTTTTTTTTTTAGAAAATTCCATAATGTTTTCCACAGTGTTTGTACCAGTCTGCAATCCCACCAACAATGGATTAGGCTCCCCTCTTCTCCACAACCTCTCCAGCATTTGTTGTTTGTTGCTTTGTTTATGATAGCCATCCTGACTGGTGTAAAGTGGTATCTCATTGTGGTTTTATTTGCATCTTTCTGATAGTGATATTGAGCATCTTTTCATGTGTCTCTGGATCTTATATATGTCCTTTTTAAAGAAATGTCTGTTCAAGTTCTTCACCCACTTTTTAATTGGGTTGCTTGTCTTCTTAGAGTGGAGTCGTGTAAGTTCTTTGTATATTTTGGAGATTAAACCCTTGTCTGAGGTATCATTGGCAAATATGTTTTCCCATACAGTTGGATCTGTTTTTATTTTAATACTGTTTTCTGAAGCCGTGCAAAAGCTTTTAATTTTGATCAGATCCAATTTGTTTATTCTTTCCTTTATGTCCCTTGCTCTGGGGGACATATCAGTAAAAAAGTTGCTGCGTGAAATATCTGAGATTTTCTTGCCAATGTTCTCCTCTAGGACTTTAATGGTGTCACAGCTTATATTTAAGTGTTTTATTCACCTTGAATTTATTTTGGTGTGTGGTGTAAGTTGGTGCTCAAGTTTCATTTTTTTGCACATAGCTGTCCAGTTTTCCAAACACCATTTATTGAAGAGGCTATTTTTACTCCACTTTATGTTGCTGTCCCCTTTGTCGAATATTAATTGGCCATAGATTTGGGTTTATTTCTGGGCTCTCTGTTCTGTTCCATTGGTCTATGTGCCTGTTTTTATGCCAGTACCAGGCTGTTTTGATTACAGTGGCCTTGTAATACAGTTTGGTATCAGGTATTGTGATCCCTCCAACTTTGTTCTTCTTTCTCAAAATTTCAGCTGCTATTTGGGTCGTTTATAGTTCCATATAAATTTTTTTCTTTTTAAAATATATTTTATTAATTATGCCATTACAGTTGTTCTATTTCCCCCCTTCATTCCCCTCCACCCTGCACCCCCCTCCCCCACCATTGCCCCCCTTTAGTTTATGACCACGTGTCTCAAGTTCTTTTAATTCTATATTTCCCATACTATTCTTGCCCTCCCCCTATCTATTTTCTACCTATTGTCTATGCTACTTATTTTCTGTACCTTCTCCCTCTTTCTCCTTCTCCCACTCCCCTGTTGCTACCCCTTCATGTGATCTCCATTTCTATGGTTCCACTCCTGATCTAGCTGTCCTCTTAGTTTGCTTTTGTTTTAGGTGTGGCTGTTAATAACTGTGAGTTTGCTGTCCTTTCACTGTTCGTATTTTTTTATCTTCTTTTTCTTAGGTAAGTCCCTTTAACATTTCATATAATAAGGGCTTGGTGATGATAAACTCCTTGAATTTGATCTTATCTGAGAATGGCTTTATCTGCCCTTCTACTCTAAATGAAAGCTTTGACTTCCACCAAGATGGAGGCATAGGTGGAGACGCCGTGCTTTCTCACACAACCAAGTTTAGAGACAACTAAATATTAGCAACAGAAAACACAGCCAGAACGCAGAAAATTGAACTTTGCGGAAGTCTGTTAACAACAAATTCTTCAGCCTGATAGGTAAGAGGGGCGAAACCAGCAGCTGTCGGAGGGGGGTTGCACAGGAAAACTCCATCAGATGGACTCAGGCGCGTGGAATCCAGGCGCAGGGTTGGACCTAGTGAGAGACCCAGCGAGCGACCTCGGGGAAACAGCGAGGGAGCCGGGCTGTGGGTTGACTGTGGTTGCGCATTGATGCGCAGATAGACAAGCGAGGGAGTGGGCGGTTGAACAGGACCCAGTGGGTCACAGCGGCGCGCAGCAGTGGAGGGCACTGCCATTTCCCCGCTCTGACCCTGCCTCCACATAGAGCATCATAACCCAGCGACTCTGAGTGGCCTGGCCATGGTGAACCACCTAAGGCTCTGCTCTTCACCCAGCAGTGTGAAACAGCAGAGGGAGCCACCATTTCCCCACTCTGACCACGCCCCCACATACAGCATCACAACCCAGAGACCTGGGAGTCCAAGGCTCCGCTCCTCACACTTAAAGGGCGTGAACAGACCAAAAATGGCTCAAGAAGATCTCAAAGCCCCACAGCCTATAAATCTAAGTGATGAAGAAATAGCAAAATTCTCAGACGCACAGTTTAAAACACCAGTTCCTCACAGAACTGGTTGATTATAGCCACAAATTAGAGAAACATATGAAGGCAAAACTAATAGAAATGAATGGAATTGCACAGGACACCAATAGCAATGAAAAGGA